TTAATTTTAGGATTAATTTAATTGAAAAATCAAATAAACCTATTAATGAGTGGATGCATAAAATGAATGCATTATTGGTGTCAATGGCTGTCAATAAGTATCGCAAAAAGGGTTCAACAGATTATAGGAAAAGACCCAAATGTTCGCACATTTTATCAAAATTGAAGACATTTATCAAACATCCGCCCACTATTGGAGTCAAAGAATTCAAATTATATTTTGATACTATTGTCGAACGACAAGGTCATATATTTTACAATTTCCTCATGTACAATCATCCCATTTTTATAATACGAATGCCTATTGAAAACATATCTAACGGTTAGACATGTCTATTAATTTATTATTATGTTTGATTATTTTAATTATATTTTTATATTTGTATAATTGCTTAGAAATGGATGCAATAAATGACATGAAGTTTAAAAAGATTGACAGACAGACTGCACAAATAGGATATGATATATATTCCGTGGAAAATATAAATTCACAAAAAATGTATTCACTTTTACAACTTGATATTGATTTCATGGGTTAGTATTACTTTCAATAATTTATTTAAAAACACAAAATATTTTGCTATTCAAGTAGTTTTGACAATATTTATAAATTATTTTACTATAACAGACGATATGATGAAAATGCATGAACTAGTCGTTGACATCAGAAAGTTACTTGATGTGAACTTGGTGCAATATTACTGGGCATGGATTGAGTATGAAATTGTATTCATTCAAATGGAGCATTTGTGTCAGGATAAACTAGACACATTTATTTCCGAAAACAATACTAATCTCAAAAATATGGCAAAACTCGGGCGACAAGTATAATCACCTTTCAATTCACATTTCTGTGTAAATTGACCAGGAACAAATGTAATTACAGTCAGTTATTAACAAATTAAATGTCAATATGATAAATTTATTTTGTTTATTTATTAATAACAATATTTTATAAAGATTATAAAATATACGGTATAAACTTTTAATAAACAATAGCTTAGTAATAATTATGTCATTTGTTTTGAAATATCAAAAGTCTTGAATGTTTTAAGTGGTGTTATACTAGTATTTCCTATTAATGGAGCTATACTACAGTCCAGTTTATTAAGTAAATATAAAATTATATAAATGATCATTTTATAAAATTATTTTTAATTTTAATTTATCTCATAATTTATTTAAATCTATATTGGATTATATATTTCATAGACTAACAAAATGTGTTCAATATTTGCATCAAAATCATATTACAGAGTATTCATTGAGACCTCAAACCGGATAATCTGTTTTTAGATAATATTCAAAATATTCATAAATTAATTTCAAATTTTTAAAAACTTTTGCAAAACTTTTAAAAAATTTGCAATAATCTGGATTAACTGGATAAGTATTAAGCTCATTATTTACCCCAAGCATATTGCATAATTAACCAACATAATTACCTTTATAATTTAAAAATTACAGCTTAAACATATCTTGTAATATCAAACTACCTATGAGACATTAAAAATATAATTATTGTTATTTAAAATCAAATAACGTAATTAAATACAGTTTATAGTGTATCATAATTTTAAGTTTTAAAGTATAAAACTTTATAATTAATTATATTTCCACCTAATGTTGCATAATACTGTAGTGCTAATTATGTTATGTGATACTTTATAAATTAATTGGTTGTAAAATACAGGTTATTCACAAAACCTTATAAATATAATCATAAATAAAATAATTAATTTAATTGAAATAATCATGTCACTTGTTTGTCTCAATATAATTTCAATGAATTTTATAAATGTGTATATAATAATTATTAGTTAATTAATTAAATTGACAATATTTTAAATATTATTATCATTTTAGAAATTATTTTTAATTAAGCTTTTAATATTATTTGCACTTAAATAATAATTTAAGATTATTATTTTTTGTAAATTAAAATTAAGTGTAAATTTACGGTATTTCAAAATTTGAAGTTCAAATCATACAAGGTTTATGAATATGACTATAAAGTTGATTATAAAGTTTACCATCAAAAATTTAAACACTATTAATTAACTATAATTTTGTATTAATTTATATACAGTAACTAGCAACAATATTAAACAAATATTATATAATAGATGACAATTCATGTAATAAATACTGTGTTTACGTCACATTTGTCTGTCATTTATTAAATGACTCATTTAAGTGTTCAAATATGACTGTTATTTTGAAATAGCATACAATTTTGGACATAACACTTTTTGTTAGTAATACATTTTGAACATAATACAGGAGTACAACTTTCACATTATGTAAACAAGGTCACACGATATTTATATCAAAATGTTAAATCAAAAACTATTATTAATTTATATAAATATTTTCGTAATATACTGTGAAAATAGTTGTTATCTTAAACTAATTGATTAAAATAAATCATTACTTAATAATTTAAATATAAATAAATAGTTTATCTATGTTTACACAATAAATATGTAGATTTCGGAAATAAAGTTTATTATTAAATATTCAACATTAATTAGTTATATTTAATAAGTGCTATAGAAATGCCTTCGGATTTAAATAATTATGAAATTTGCGATAAAATATCCGAAGATTTAAAACAAAACATTAAATTATTTTATGTTTTCGATGACTTTAAAGGACAAAACATACTGTTTGTTACGTTTGATGATATGGTGTATGGCTTGGGATCTAATTGGTTTGGTCAGCTCGGCTTAGGACACAACACACCCATTGAGACACCGGTAGAAGTGCCACAATTATGCCATCAAAATATACATCAGTTTATGAATGGAGACGACTTTGTATTGGCTGTCAATACGGATAATAATGTGATATTCAGTTTCGGTTGCAATGATCGGGGACAATTGGGACGGCGTGTGGACAGTGCCATACGTACTGTATTAAGTTATATTAAAATCTCGCCGCGTGGGGGTTTATATCATAAGCCTGGTACTATTTCATTCTTCCAATCAAATGAATTAAATATTCAACAATTAAGTTGTGGTTGTGATCACACAATTGTGTTGACAACTGATGGACGGCTATTTGGATGGGGGAGTAATAAATTTGGGCAAATTGGTGGCAATAGACGTTACATCTTAAAGCCAATTCCTATTGAATTGTCTGACTATAAAATTCGTAAAATAGTGTGCAATAAGTGGACATCAGTTGCCATTACCAGTGATGGACAGGTGTTTATGTGGGGGTGCATGGGGTCTACCACTGGTAGACCGTATACCACTTGGAAACGCCCACAACTATTGGCCAATGTATTTAATATACACAGTGTTTGCATAGATGAGAGTGAATTTATCAAACGATATTACTTTCTATCAAACGATGGATTCATATATTTCTATGATTTTGGTGACAAATGTATGAATAGATTAACACATATTGTATTCAATGAACTCAAACAAATATATTCGTATAACAAGTGGACTACAGTCATTTTGGGCAAATCTGGTCATAAAATATATGAAATTTCTTGTCGACAACCCTTTGAAACCAAATATACATCATTTGATGATTACTTTTCACGTAAATTGCAAATCACTTTCAATACAATTTCAGCACATAATCAACAAAATACTGTCCAAAACCAATTGAATGAAAACACAGACATATGCGGTAAATAAGGAATTAAATTTTTCGTATTTATTATATTCATAGAAATAAATATATACCGCAGTAGTATTAATTATAAACTGTAGTATTTTACAATAATCTACGATATGAACTTCTCACTCTTAGAAAATGTAACGTTAGACGAGTCATTTGATGTAATTGGTAAACTTGGTGAGGGTAGTTTTGGAGAGGTGTTCAAAGTTAAAAACAAATGTGACAAACGTTTATATGCTCTTAAGAAATGTCCACTAAATGGTAATTAATTAATTTTATATCTGATATACAAATTATAGAGTAATTATTTTTATTTGTTTCAAAAGATTTGACAGAAAAACAGAAACAAAATGTTTTGAATGAAACTCAAAGTCTTGTGAAACTTCGATCAAAGTTTGCGA